TGTGACAGATGCCGAAGATGCAGTGAAGATAAAGGAGGTCACCACCCAGGGATGCTTCTGGGAATGGAGATGGACAAGTAAACGCATAACAGAAGGAAGAGAAGAAGCAGTAAGGACAATGCAGAAGAATAAAGCAGAGTAAAGAGGTAGGATGAAGGTGAGGATAGATTGCAAGGAGGAAGGCATTTAAACCAAATGGAGTCACAGGAACGAGCCCATTGTGCAGAGATCTGGGAGAAGAATCCCCCAAGATGGGACCATCTTGGTGCAGAGGCAAGATTGGTCAGTACAGATGAAATGCAGTGAGCCCAGGAAAATTCTGATCCAAGAGGAAGGTTTTATGAGATCATTTTTACTTGTAAGACATCTTTCCCAGACCAGACTTCAAATAACCTAAAGCCAGATGGCTTATTTGGATTTCTCTTGTTACTGGCAATAGTCAGTAGAGCCGTAAACAGTATATTAATAATGAAGTTACTTGTTTTAATTAGCATAGGGGCTGACTGTAGTGGTTCGTGTTTGTAATCCCAGCGTTCCAGAGGTGGAGGCAGAAGGATCAGGAGTTCAAAGAAGCCTCAGCTACATGGTGAGTTGCAGACCAGCTGGGCTCCGTGAGAAAAGTAAAGACTGACCAATATTTGTTCAGGGCCAGATGGTAAATATTTTTGTCTTTACTGAAGTCCCAGCCACTCAGCTTTGCTGTCGTAACACAGAAGTAGCCATTTGCTGTAAATCTATAGGCTAATCAAACTTCAATTACAAAAATAAGTAGGAAGTTGAATTAAGCCCATGGGTCCCAGCTTGTCCCTGAGCCTCTCCTCGTATATCGAGAGATGGTACTGTGGGGGACAGCGATCTCAGTTCTGAGATAGTCACTGCCTTTTCTTTTATTTTTTTAAGACAGGGTTTCTTTGTGTAGCCCTGGGTGTCCTGGAACTCACTTTGTAGACCAGGCTGGCTTCAAACTCACAGAGATCCACCTGTCTCTGCCTCCTAAGTGCTGGGATTAAAGGCATGTGCTACCACCGCCCAGCAATAATTGCCAAATTAAGAGAACAAGCCTGTGGAGAATGAGAAGATGGGTGAGGAAAAATGGGACGTTTGCTTTTCCCTGGCCTGGTGACTTAGCAAACTTCATAGCTAACAGCACATTCTTCCACATAAGTTGATATATATTCGTGTGGTAAAACAATGAAAAATGGTCCAAAGGCGTTAGAATCCTCGTACAGTTGCTGCTGAAGGGAGTAGTGCACTCAGACCTGAGAGGATGTGGTGCCCACGGTGTGGAAGTGACTGACTGACATGGACGCAGCAGTAGCCCAGGCAGGGGGGCCCTGCCTGAAGTGAGCTGAGACGGTGAGAGGGAGTGGATGAAGCTGACTTAATCACACTTCAGGCTCCACAGGATGGCATCTCATAGGATCTAGGATGTTTAGGGTAAGAGTTGAGGGTAGCTGAGGAGGAAGGAGCGTGTGGCTCAGTCTTTGGGCGCCTGTCTAGCACACGTGATGCCCTGGGTTCGGTCCCCAGCACTGCAGACGGAGCAGTCAGGACAGCTGTAGTCGGTGTGTGCAGAGCCCTGAGGTCAGTGCCCTGGCCCCTCTCTCCCTTCAAAGAGAGGACTGGGTTTTCTGGTACCAGAATGTTGTGGTGGAAGAAATGAGAAGTTCTGGTTTAATCGTGATGCATTTGTGTACTCTAGGGCAGCCTACAGGAGAAAAATCCCAGGTTTTAATGATGGGTAGTCAGAGCCATGTGACTCAGTGTGGTAGAGAAAAGGACCAGGATGAGACTTGAGTTATGACTAATGAGCTGCTGAGAAAAGAAAAATCAACAGGAGAGAATAAAGAATCAGAGGGTCTCAAAAACCCAAAGGAGAATTCTAGAGAAAAAGACAATGCCGTCACCTGCAGCACACTCAGCCAGAAGGAGACTGAGGAAGACAGTTGTTGACTGGGGACTCAACAGCTCCAGTTGTCAGCCTTTGTCCAGAGCCTGGTCAGCCATATGCACGCAGGCTCTGTGTTCCTCAGTCCATGTTGTTCACAGAAGACGACCCTGGATAGAACCTTGTCTCGGCTTCAGCACGGTACCCCCCACATAGGTTCTCCAGTCGAGTCTGAGAACCCACAGCTTCTCGGCACTTCTCACCCTTCTCAATCTGCTAAGACAGTCCAGTCCTGACCGATTCATCCAAAGAACACACAGAGCCTCCTGCTAAAGATAACTGGAGAATTTAGACTGTGCCTGACAGACTGGAGGTGTGAGTTATTAATAACACATGTTCAAGGTGATAAGAGAAGGAATTGTTAACACATGTAAATTCAATGTATTGGTCCATTTGCCTTCTAGATGTGAGTTACTTTGGAAAGACAAGTCATAGTTCTCTTGACTCATTATAAAGTTATACATTAAGTCAAATTTTCAGGGTTGCATCTTTGTTACTGTGTAACTTGTCAAAACCATACTGTGCCTTTTGCCTTCAAATGCGTGTTCTTGTTTCCGTTTTTATATGGTCAGCTCTGGGGTCTTCTTAGCTGGTTTGGGGTAGTTGGCTGCTGTTGGGTGTGCTTTGTTCTCACTTAGTGAGCTCTTCATTAGTCAGCTCTCCATTTCCAAAATTTGATTTTTTTTCCCAAAATTTCTTTTTGCAGTGTTCTAGTGCATATCCTGTACTGTCTTTCACATGCATGCATGCATGCATGGAACATGCTCCCAAACACACATACCATGTATATGCATGTACACACAATAAGAATAATACAAAATTTAAATTAAAAAGTTACAAAAAAAAGTTCCTTTGGAGCCATTGTGTCACCTTGGGGTATGTGCCACTTTTTTTTTTTGGTGTTTTGGTTTGTTTGTTTGTTTGTTTGTTTTTGGTTTTTTGAGACAGGGTTTCTCTGTAGCTTTGAGGCCTGTCCTGGAACTCGCTCTGTAGACCAGGCTGATCTCAAACTCACAGAGATCCACCTGCTTCTGCCTCCCAAGTGCTTGGATTAAAGGTGTGCACCACCACCACCCAGCTCTCTACCACTTTATAAAGTGCTTAAGAAGCTGTCTCTTGGAAACATGTCTTAGGCTGCCACTGTCATTGGTGGTTTTGCGTCTGGCTGGACTCCATACTGTCATTTCACTATAGTTTCTTTAACTGTGATTAGTGACTTTGGGCACAATGAATACTGTTACAGAGCCCGGAAGACCACTGTCTGTACAGGCCACGTGTGCAGAACACTGGGTGTGTGGGGGCCATCCAGTGTGTCACTGCTCCCACAGTGGGCATAATGCCCTCTACAGCAGTGGTGTCTGGAACAGTCGATCGCCAACCCACACCAAAGAGAGAAGCACTCAGAGGGTTCAGTCCTTCGTGGCCCTCATGGAGCTGGACAGCAGCTCAGACGAGACGGAGAGTAGCGTGGTAGAGAGAGCTGCCGAGAAGGTAGGGGATAGAGAGAGCTGCCGAGAGGGTGGAGCGGTAGAGAGAGCTGCTGAGGACAGCAGCACATCTGTTTACTCGCTGCTCCAGTGCAGTGTCTGAGAGCAGGGCTGAGAGACAGAGCTGGGCAGTGTTCTCCTCTGATGCCCATTATCTGCTTTGGGGCAACAACTGGGACCCTCATGACACCCAGGCTGACGATGTCGGTTTTCCCTGTCCTGACAGTAACAGGCACATAGCTTTGACACAGAGTGGGCGTTGGCCTTCAGTCCTGGAAGAAGCACAAGCCCACAAATGTCTTTGATCTTAGGACAGGCACCCTGATAGACTGGTTCTCAAAGATAGCACCTCCAGTTCTGCAGGTCACCATACCTATCTTCCACAGTACAGTTACCCTGCTGAGCCAAGCGGAATGGTCCAGGCAACTAAACCCTATACAGTTCTACAGAAAGTCTATGGAAGCCCAGACACGAGAAGAGCAGGCATCCCTGAAACCCAAACTCCCATCTCACTTCTCAGAATGGCCCTTGGCATGGCACCATGAATGCATCTGGGGGAGGTGGTATGAGACTCTACCATGCATATTTTGGATTACTCATCCAGTGGGTTGCTAGTAGTAACGTGATATAGTTCCCAGTAGCTAGAACTGCCAGCATCCTCATGGCTAGTTTGCTGGAACACTTTGATCCTTACTCCTGCAGAAACTCCTTCCTCCCGTCTGTGAAGCTGTGGTAGCAAGTACAAGAGAACTTATATGCGCCCTCACTGTGCTCTCTTGTTCCAGCTATCTGGATTCTCCGAGTTTGAATCTTAGTGATTTCCTCTGTTCTCCCACAATCCTTCACTTCAGTATATACATATACCAATTACGTTGGTTTTCTGTGGGAGAGGGGTTGAATGCCAGCAGCGGTCTGCTCGGTGATCTTGGGTTTTCTGATTGCCTACTTTATTAAAATCTCAGTGCCTGGAATGTAGCTTGTCTTGCATGTGCAAAGCTTTGAGTTCAGTCCACAGCACATTAAAAAGGAAACCGTTTACTAATAAAAGGCTTGCTTATTGATTACATTTCATTGAGAACATTACATGTAGTCAGTCTTTAGAGATTTGTCAGAAGTAGTTTGAAGAAAAAACTTGGATTTGGTATTAAATGCCTTATGGTATATTAATGTTTTAAAAATTAAAATGTAAGATTACCAGTAGGTAATCTTGCTTTTTGTTATCTTTTGGGGTGGGTATAAGCCAAATACTTTATATAGATTGTTTCCAAAGCTCCCCCATCTTCTCCATTCTACAAAGGAAAATTTTATGCATTTTGCTTTTATCCAAAGAATTTTTGCTGGCTTACTGGGCATGTTAATAGGTACGGTAGACATCTTTCCTTATTGAACAGTGTTTGTTGGTCTTTTAAGTCTTCTGAGATTCCAACTTAGTAAAAACTTTTCTCTACGAATTTTGTTATTTCAGAGAAAGCTTTTCCTCCACAGGAGACCCACCATGGAAAATTGAAGATGCATCCTCCGGTCCTTCTTACTTCCTCACGTGCTTTTACTATTATTGATTTCAGATTGACGCCGATTCTTGGCATTCAGAAGCATTCTCCGAAAAACGTGGTATTTACACAGTTTATAGCCACCCTGCTGACAGAACTGCATTTAAAATGTGAAGATCTTGAAAACTTAACCACTGTATTTAGAACGAGCTGCTAAGAAGCGTGGTGAGTTGGATTCTATTTGTTACCTGTGTGAGCTTCTGAAAGTGCTCAGCCAGTGTTCTCTCGCTATCAATGCCCCAACCACAAGTTTAAAAAGCAGGCACAGATCTCAAGCACACTGCAGCTTGCTAAAGACTCAGCTGTCTGCTGCCTCCTGTCCACTTCTAATTTGTGCTGCCCATGCTGCAAATCTTCCTGTGAAGACAGCAGTTCTGGGTCTGACATCTAGGATGTCCCCAGGCCATCCCGCTGTCCCCCCTGATCCAGTTTCCTCCCATAAAGCACCAGTTCACTGCAGTGGCCCATCGTGAGTCTTCTCATTCTGCTGCCCCGAGAGTGGAGCTGACCTCTTTCTAGCCAGCATCTTAGTTACCTCAGTGCAGATAAGCAGGTAAATTTGCATGCCTGGGTTTGTTGAATTTTATACCTGCTTCTAGAGACACAGCTCAAGTCTGTCGTACGGATTATAAAAACCCAGAGACAGATGTTGGGGTTCAAGCCGAAGATCAGAAAAGCAAAGCAGCCGCTAGAGAGTTCTTACCTCTACCAAGGCTCAGACAAAGGGGCGATCCTGTTCTCACGTGACTGCAGACTGCAGTGCTCGCCACCAGACCTCAGACTGCACCCAGACTGCATGGGACTCCTCTCTGGTGCTGGGATTAGTGTGAGCTCTGTTTCTCTTTAGACAGATTCACTCTCCTGGAGCCCAGGGCAGCCTTGAATTCCGGGATTAAAGGTGTGTGCCACTACTCCCTGGCCTCTAATGGCTCAGCTCTACACTATGATCTTCAGGCAAGCTTTATTTATTAAAACACAAATAAAATAGTCTTTGTCTCTTGCAAGTTGACCATCAGAATGTCCCTTAACTACACCGTTTTTTGCCTTCTCATTTAATATGAAAATCAAAAAACATCTTGGGAAATAGTCTTAATTCAAGATTCTCTTTAGTATAAAAACCAAGCAACGCAGAAGTAAGCTTATAGATAAGAAAGTCTTCCTTACCTCTGCTTTGGCTATTGGAGGGAAGGAAAACTAATTCATTCTCTCTCTCTCTCTCTCTCTCTCTCTCTCTCTCTCTCTCTCTCTCTCTCTCTCTGTCTCTCTCCTTTGTTCTTTGTCTAAAGGTGGGACCCCATGGAGTATTTCCCCTTCCATGTTGGCATGTCTCTTGTTCTGGCCGCCATATTGTTGAGGTGTCGTGGGTAAAGCTTCTTTCTCATTTCCCTCCTGTTCCTCCAGTTCTTAGTCTTCTCATGCCCTCTTCCAAGATGTTGCCTGAGCCTTAGTGCAGGAGTTGTGTTGTATACAACAGATGTTGTGTATCTGTTGGGGCTGGGCACCCCATGATCCACTGTTTACTGTATTTTGAGCAGGTGTGGTTTTCTGTGATAGTCTTCATCTACAGCTAAGAAAAGTTTCTTTGGTGAAGATTGAGAAGCTATACTTACCTGTGAGTAGAAGTATTTAGAATGTGTTTAAGGATTATGTTGGTTTAAAAATAGCAGTAATAGGTTCTCCTTTTAAGATTTGTGACCTCACTAACCCTGGGTAGTTTCGTGTATCAGGCATGATTTTGATTTCCTTCCTGCTGAATGGACCCTAAATCTAATTAGACAGCTGCTGGCTACCTCTAAAATAAGAGTGCCACTATTAGCTGGGTGGTGGTGGTGCATGCCTTTAATCCCAGCACTCGGGAGGCACAGGCAGGTTCTCTATAAGTTCGAGGCCAGCCTGGTCTACAGCGTGAGTTCCAGACAGGCTCCAAGCTATATTGCCCCCTTAGAGACAACCTGGCCTGCGAGTGGTTGTTGTAGATCATAGTAGGCTCCACGACTGAGCAGCACAGGATGGCTCCCCTCCCAGCACCATGAGAGCTTTTCAGTTTTATCGAGACTGACTTGTCAATTTTACCTTAATCCCTGGACAGACAGAGCCCTAGTCAGGAAGGGCTTTCCTACACCTGAATCATGCAGATGGAGCCCTAGGAAGTGCTTTCCACACCTGGATATTCGGGCACTGCCTGTGTTTTCTCAACAGTTTCAGGTTTCATGCTTAGGTCTTTGATCCGTTTGGAATTTTTTGTATGAGATGATAGATATGGGCCTAATTTTATCCTTGTACGTGGACATCCAGTTTGCCCAGCACCATCTATGGAAGATGCTTTTGTTTCCAGTGTCTTTCGGCCACCTCTGTCAAATATTAAGTGCCTAGAGGCCCATGTACTCATGATTTTTGTTACACTGGTCTACACGTGTTTTGTGCCTGTACCATATTATCACCATGGCTCTAAAATATATCTTGAAATTGGGAATGGTCATCCATACAGTACTGTTCTTTATGATCACGATTGTTTTAGCTATCCAGGGTCTTGTGTGGTTCCATATGAATTTTAGGATTTTTTTTTTCCTATTACTGTGAAGAATGAGATGGGGGCTTTGATTGGGATTGCACTGAATCAGTAAATAGCATTTGGTAGAATGGTAACTTTCATTGTTAATTCTATCAAAGTTTAAAGTTTTCATCGTAGAGGTCTTTTATCTCTTTGATTTAGTTTATTCCTGGACAGTTCCTTTCAGACTGTTATCTTCATGTTTTTGTGTGGTATATGGAAAGGCTGTGATTTTGTGCACATTGACTCTGGGTCATTTCCAATGGCTCATCTGCTATGGGGATGGGTTGACCTCCTTCCTTACTTGTATCCCTGTAATTTTCTTATCCTGACTTACTGCTGCAGCTGGGCTTTCAGTACTGTAAAAACAATTTTTCTGCATCTACTAAGATGACCAATGTGATTTCCATTTATTGATGTATATATGTTGAACTTGCTCTGCATCTCCTGGACAAAGCCAGGTTGGTCATTGTGGATAATCCTTTTAAATGTTATCCACTTTTGAATTGATGTTTGTCAGGGATATTGGCCTACAATTTTCTTTCCTGTTGTTACGTCTTTACCTGGTCTTGGTTTTAGTATTAGGGTAATACTAGCTTCCTAGATGGACGTTTGGGAGTACGGGTTTTTTGGTTTTTAGTTTTTTGAGACAGAGTTGTGTAGCCCTGGCTGTCCTGGAACTCTGTGTACCAGGCTGGCCTTGATTTCAGCGATCCCGAGCCACACCTGGCAGGAGTGCAGGTCAGCATCCTGGATCTCCTTGTGTCTGTTGTCATGTGTCCCTGTGATTTCTGACGCTGTCAAGTTAGCCCTTCCATCATGTCTTTTATTTCTTCCCATATATGGGTTGTTAGGTTGGTTTGTTCCTGCTTTTCCTAATTTTTGAGTTGCATCATTAAGTCATTTATGCATGTTCAGAAATTTTTTTTCTACTCAGAACTATACATTTTCCTCATAGGACTGCTTTCAATGTGTCCCAAAGGTTCTGTTGTATTTTCATTTAGCTACAGTAATTTTGTTTTTTGGTTTCTTCTGAACCATTCATCACTAGTGAGCGCTTTAATCTCCATGAATTTGTCTGATTTTAAGTTTTACTGCACAATGGTCAGGGTGCAAGGTGTGCTTTCAACCTTTCTAGATTTGTTAAAATTTGTTTGATACCCCAGGAGGTGGTCTATTATAAATATGCTGAGTAGGTTGCTGAGTAGAATCTATATTCTATAGTGTTTGAGTAGAATATTCTATAGATATCTGCTAAGTCCATTTGATATATGATGTCAATTATCATGATGTGTAGCACAATTAATAAAAACCCAGAGACAGATATTGGAGTTCAGCCTGAAGGTCAAAAAAGCAAAACAGCCAGCCACTGGCTCTTACTTCTACCTCAGTCCAAAATGTCGATCCTGCCTCCAGGAATCTCAGAATGAGACTGTGTCTGAGAGCTGTTCCCTCCCATTTTATAATCCTCTCTCCTGGAATTAAAGGCATGTACCACTACTGCCTGGTTTCTATGGCAAGCTAGTGTATTTACTGGGATTAAAGGTGTGTGCTATTGCTGCCTGGTTTATAAAGCTGGCCAATATGGCTGTTTTACTTTTCTGATCCTCAGGCAAGTTTTATTTATTAAATACAAGTGAAATGCCACTGCAGTTGCTTGGGGTTTTTTCCCCTCTTTCAATTTTCAATATTTTTCTTTGTTCTGCATATTAGTGTTTTAACTATGATATGCCATGAAGAGTTTATTACTTGGTATTCTGTGTACTTCTTGAATCAGTGTTGGTATGTCTTTCCTTATTTGAAGAAGTTTTCTATGATCTTGACCATCTGGTCCCTGTGTTGGCCTAGGCTGTTCCTTCCTCATCTATACCTATAATTTGAAAGGTTTGGTTTTGTGATGGTTTTCCAGTGTTCATTTCCTGTGCTTTTTAAAAACAAAACAGTTCTGAGAAACTGCGAGACTGACCTCCAAAGTGGCTGCACAAGTTTGCACTTCCACCAGCAGTGGAATGGTTCCCTTGCTCCACATCCTCTCCAGCGTAAGCTGCCACTTGTGTTTTCTATCTCAGCCATTCTGAAAAGTGTAAAATGGAATCTCAGAGTCGTTTTGATTTGCATTACCCTGATGTTCAAGGATGTTGACAACTCAAGTATTTCTTGGCCATTGGAGATTATTCTGTTGAAAATTTTCTATTTAGATCTGTACCCCATTTTTAATTGGATTGTTAATGTCTAGTTTATTAGGTTCTTTAAATATTTTGGAAATCAGCCTTTTGTCAGAAATGGGGTTAGTAAAGATCTTTTTCCCATTCGGTAGGCTGTTGCTTTGTCTTGTTGACTGTGTCCTTTGCCTTACAGAAGCATTTCAGTTTCAGGAGGTCCCATTTATTAATTGTCACTCTCGGTGTCTGCTACTGTTCTGTTCAGGAAGTTGTCTCTTTTTTCAATACATTAAAGATTATTTCCCATTTTCTCTTCTGTCAGGGTCAGTGTATCTAGATTTATAATGAGGTCTTTGATCCACTTGGACTTGAGTTTTGTGCGGGGTAATAGATATGGATCTATTTGCATTCTTCTATATCCAGTTAGACCAGCACCATTTGTTGAAGATGCTTTTCTTCAAATGTATAATTGTTTCAAGGAGGCCATTAGTTTATTCCCGGCCGCTTAACCCAGAAATAATCACACAGAAACTGTATTAACTAAATCACTGCTTGGCCCATTAGCTGTAGCTTCTTATCAGCTAATTCTTACATATTAATTTAACTCATTTCTAATAATCTGTGTATCGCCACATGGCTGTGGCTTACCAGGTAAAGTTCCCAGCATCTGTCTCCTATGGTGGCTCCATGGCTTCTCCCTGACTCCACCTTCCTTCTACCTTGCTATAGGCCAAGCCAGTTTCTTTATTCATTAACCAATAAAAGCAACACATAGACAGAAGGACCTCCCACACCATATAATTTTGGTTTCTTTGTCAAGGTTCATGAGGAGACACCCAGATCTCCCAAGGAAGGGGAAATAGAAGAGATTTTGTGAGTGGACTGAGGGTGAGTAGGGATAAGAACATGAGAGATCAGGTTGGAGAGTATTGAAAGAGATTACTGGAAGGGGGGACATTTTGGGGTCAGGTAAAAACCTGGCGCAAGGGAATCTCCCAGGAATCTACAAGGCTGACCCCAGCTTAGACTTCTAGCAATAGCAGATACATAGCCTGAACTGGCTATCTCCTGTGACCAGATTGGTGCCTAGCCCAGCTGTCATCAGAGAGGCTTCATCCAGCAACTGATGGAAGCAGATGCTGACCCACAGTCAAACACTAGGCAGAATATGGGGAATCCTGCAGAAGAGGGGAGGAGAAAGGATTGTAGGAATCACAGAGGTCAAGGATACTATAAGAAAATACAGGGCTCATAGGGACCCAGAGACTGAGCCAACAACCAGGGAGCCTGCATAGGACTGAGCTAGGCACTCTGCACATGTATTATGGTCGTGTAGCTTGGTATTCTTCTGAGACCCTAACAGTGGGAGCAGGGGCTGTCTCTGACCCTTTTACTGGCTTTTGGAACCCTGTTCCTTATACTGGGTTGCCTTGCCCAGCCTGCTTACTGCAACTTTGATATGCCATACTTTGTTTGATATCCATGGGAGACCTGCCCTTTACTGAATAGAAATGGAGGAGTGGATGGGGGGAGGGACTGGGAGGAGAGGAGAGAGAGGAAACTGCAGCCAGGATATAAAATAAATAAATTTATTTAAAAATAAATAAATAAGTGGCTGGAGGGGCCTCAGAGATTAAGAGCACCGGCAGTTCTTCCAGAGGTCCTGAGTTCAGTTCCCAGCACCCACGTGGTGGCTCACAGCCATGTATAGTGGGATCTGATGTCCTCTTCTAACGTGCAGTTTTACATCTATATACAATTTTAGGTGTTTTATTCAGGCTCTTTTGTTTCCCAGATATAATTCAAGAAGACAGAAGATGAATTCTACTCAACATACCTGGAATTTTAGCCACTGAGGGGCACTGAGTGACCGCTGTCTAAGTGCATAACTTCCTCAGGCACAGAAGAGCCGTGACCCCAACGGGAAGAAGCAAGCCCTTACTACCAGAACTTCAAAACACAGGATCTTTACTTGAAAAGGAAAAATAAATTGAAACTTGAATGAATATTCAAGAAAATGCAATTACCTTTATCTTCCTCTGGCTGATTACTGCCAGAAAATTTTAATTTTGGCTGGTTATAAACTCTATCATACAAATAACAGCAAAAGTTAAGTCAATAAATGTGCTCTAAATGCGACCTTCAATGAAGTCCTTTACAAGTCTGGTCACTTTTTCAAAAGCTGAGCATGCTGACCACCCCACTTGCCCTGCAGCCAAGCTCTCACCAGAACCCTCCTGCGATGCCTCTACCAACCCAATAGTACTGAAACATGCCATGTTCTCCATGGTTAGCCTGGTAAGTGCCCTATAGCTCCCAATTCGCACCTTTTCCCCAACCTGCCATATCTGGTCAGAGTCCCACAACCAGTGCCCAGCCCAGTGTGACCACCCCACCCGCACATAAGCTAATCTCTTGGCTTCCATAGGGTTCCACGTGTAATGCAGCCAGGGCTTGCACTACAGCCTGCCCCACCTGCAACCACCCACAGATCCCGTCTGCATAGCTTCCAGCCACGCTACTTGGTAACCAGACTCCTCAAATTTCCTCCAAGGACTAGCCTACGTCCCACATCCCATGCCCTGTCTGTGCCATAGCCAACTTTTATACTTGCTCCAACCTGCAGCCACCCACAGAACCTTCCTGAGCAGCATTCGACTTGGTACCCAGACTTCCCACATTCTTCTCCCAGGTTCTAACCAGGTGACTTCCCCCGACTCCCATCTTTTCTTTTTCTACAACTGGCCAAATCTTGCCTGGCTCCCACAACCATAGTGCCAGCCTAGTCCTATTTTCCTTGCCTACACTGCAAAGGAGCATTGAGCTTGGGCTAGGACCTTCCTTACCTATCTCTCAAACCACAGGACTTTCCCAGGCCGTATCCAACCTTTCAACACAGCCAAATCTACCCGTAGCCTTCCATGCTTGGAAAAGCGAACGCACCCTGTATGCCAGCCTGAAACCCTCTCCCCACCTGACTTCACCCATTTTCAACCTAGAAACCCAACCCACCTGCACTTCCTCCTTTTTGCCCCAACTTGTTCTGTCCATAACGAAATAAGAACAAAAGAAATCTACATTCCAGATCTCATCTCAAGAATATCAACAATCTGAAAAATCAAACCAGTATCACCTCTCCAAATCCTACTAGTCCTGTACAGATGTTTGCC